ATTGTTGCAGACCTGTCCAATCCTTGATTGGGCGCCCTGCTCAACCTAGGGGTTTGGGACCCGGCCCCAGGAGTTTGAGGCCCGGGCCCTCAGGGGCCTGGGGCTTGGGCCGCCGAACGCCAATTATCCGCGCGGCTAAAACCGAAACGCTAAACCTTGATGTTTCGACGCAACAAGATTAGTTGAAACTAGGCTGCCGGGACTGCGAGCAGGAATTCCATCTCGGGCAGCCCTTGGCTTCACACCGGACCTCTGCAACAAGCGCCACCCCAGGGCTTGGGGCCTGGGTGCCCCCACAAACACCCCCCACCCAAACATTTTTGACGCCAACCCTAAACCCTAAACCTTATACATTATAATATTCCCCCAAAGGGTACTGTGACTTTCGAGGTCTCGGAGATGCTCAGAGTGGCGCTGCGGGCGCTGCTTTTCGAGCATCGGAGAGGCTCTTTGCGTTGGAGGAGAAGCTTAACCGCTTGCAGGGTTATATAGGGTTTAGGGCATAGGGTTTAGGGTTTAGGGCTCAATAGGGTTCAGGGTGTAGAGCTTAGAACTTCGGATTTAGGGAAGGCTTGCATGGTTCTGATGAGTCATACAAGAGAATTCCTGCCGAGTGACCCCCAAGCGCAATCGGTACTGAACAGCAGATTCATGGATGACTGGATGACCTTGGGGTTTAAGGTTGAGGGTCTAGACATCAAGAGAAGTAGTTACCACTGTGTCAGCGCTGAGGACTCCGTGAAGAAGGCAGTGACTGCAGGCGCGACTTCAAAGAAGTATTGCCTCTTACATGCTGAAGTGTGGTGGGGTTTCTGGGAACGTCCAATGCTGGGTCTCTTTCTTGTCTTTCTGGTGTGGTGCCCTTTTTGTATGTTTTGGGCGTGGCCTTCGTTGTGAACGTGCCAGCACACTTCAGCTTTGGGATATGAAGCTCTTGAGGCAAGGGGCTTGAAATCGTAGCGAGGAATCTAGGACGGAAAGTTGTTTTGGAAGCCTGCTGGCGCCCTTTTTACCCTTTTGGGGTTCTTGGTTCCTTTGTAAGATATACCAACAACAAAAAGGGTAGCCTTATAGTAGCATTGTTACCATGAAATCGCTTAGGCTCCTTAAGAACCCGCAGGTTTAAGGTCTAGGTTAGTTACTTGTCGGGTACCCCTGTGAAAATCATATAAGATTCGTATGAGTAATATGGAAGCGTTGCTGAAGGATACACACTCCTAACCCAATAACTACCCACCCGTGGGGTTCCCTAAAACAATAGTTGGAAATCCGTACATGGAGCTTGTGATGGGGGCGGGGATGTGCTGTGGTGAAGTAGAAGGCTGAACGATCACTAATGTCATTTTCTTATATACTCCAGAACCCCACTCTAATTAAATGGGCCGCTAGATTCGACATTTGTAGTAATAATGAAAGTACACAACCCTCAACGCTGCTTCACACGGCATTTCTGTTAAACCTGGACCCTATACCCCAAACCCCAGCTGGTTACAACCAGCAAGAAACCTCAGGGCCAGAACCCTTAAGATCTGCGCCTTATACCCCTTAATACTGTTTAGGGTTACCTAAACCCGTAAACCTTTCGCCCCTAAAACCACTCCCATCTCACAAGCCAGGCCCTCCACCGCCAGAATTTCCGGTGGTGCGTGGATACTTCGCCGTGGGCGCAGCATCCCATCTGGCATGTAAGGGGCATTTCGCGGTTCAGGGTTTAGGACTTAGGGCTCGGGGTTTAGGGTTCAGTGTTCCCATGATACAAAGTAGGGTGTTTATGATGGTCTTTGGTGAGTCTATATAGGGCTCCTTAAGAGTATTGGTGAGCGCATACATGTTTGTCCAATTGGGGGAACTTAAACAAGCAACATGAGATATGTCCACCAAAAACCATGTAACCCGAATGTCTTATCTGTGATATAGCATCATGATAGAATCGAGTGACTATTCATTGTTAGGGGGCTTGGAGGAGGGGGGGAAATTTTAGAGGGAGGTGCTTAACAAGGGTTTTATGGACTTGAGGCCGAAAACAGGGTCTCATCTCAAGGTACTGCGCGCAGAGCTTAGGGCCAAGGAGTTAG